ATTTGACATGTGGAAAAAAGCTTGCTTACTGTTTTTATCATACAAACTACAGAAAGCAAATTCCAAGAAAAGTGTCCTTCCCCGGTAGAGCCTGGTTTTGAAAGAAATGCTTGGAAACACTGTTTTATTTAATCTCTGATTATTTAAATTTTCCTTTTTTCATTCTGTGGCATGTGTGCTCTTTTATTGTTAAGTGACTTCAAGTTCCTTCAGAAAGTAGATGGAATAAATTACAAAGCAACACTGTGCCTCAGATTAAGTGTGATTTGTGGAGCTTAATGGCTAGATTCTTGCTGTGCCCCGTCATTCCCTGGCAGCTCCTTTTCAGGAGCTCTTCTTAGGCAACAGAGAGTTCAAGGGCTGTCCCTCAGATAATCTAAGATGACAATAAAACCTGGTCCCAGAGCAACTTCCCAGTTCTGGATTCTCTATCTCACTAGTCTTGGTGTTTGGCAAATAAATATGCTGCGTAAATATTCCAGGAGACATGGGGGCCCTTGGTGCTACTTCTCCTTATGCAATCCCCACAGTGCTGTGCCTTACACAGAGGACACAGACAGAAAATCACAATAATGGCAGCAGTGACGGCATATGCATCCACAAAGGGGCTTGCTTCATTCAGGGGAGCAAGTGTGTAATTGCTAAATTGCAAGAACTGGGTCAGGTTGGTCAGAAGAAATTCCAGGTAAGAATTTTCCTGCAATAAATGCTACAGAAGCTAGTTTTGAACCATCACTTTTCTATCATATAGGATGACTTATTTTCCCTCTCCGATTTTATGTTTTCTCTCTCCAATGCTTTGTTTAAAAATCCTTCTCGTCCTATTATTCCACTTCTTCATTTCATATTTTACCCAATTTGGACTTATTCCTGAGACATTGAAAAAATCTCTGATCCCTATGTCCTAGTCACAGTGAAAACCAAAACCAAACCAAAACGAAACAAAACAACCCTGACTTCATTTTYGATAACAAGATCTGAGCCAGTTGCTTATTTTAGAATCCTCTGGGATAAAAACAAAACAAAACAAATCCCGTGAATTCAGATCCCAAACTCTAATGTAAACAATATGGAATTGACCTTCTTACAAATTTGCTGAAGTACTTCTGTGGTTACTAGTTTCCTGAGCTGTAAAATGGATATAAAGTTTATTAATTTAAATCTAACAGGAGAATTCATAAAAACACAATGAATATCAGGGTTCTGAGGAAAACAGATCCACAGCTTCCTAACAAAATTCTGAACACTGCCATAGGTACTCACTTCCTCATTTTCCAACATCATCATGAAAACCAGCTTAACCCAACCAAAATATTTTTTCCAGCCTATTTCACAGATGACTAAACAGAATTATAAGAGATAGTTGGTGACAAAAAAAAAAAAAGCCCTTTGGAATAAATAAACACAAGAAATGCATGCCAATCAATCTCTTAAAGATTTAAATTATTCTTTAGTGTGGGGTCCCCAGAAATGCAGCTCTTGAACATCCCTTGGCTGCACAATTGTCCCAACAACCTCATGAGCAATCAGTCCTGCTACCACTTCTCACAGGAGGAAAGAAATCCTTCCTCCTGCCCTGTCCAAGTGGGTCACTGCTGCTTTTCTCTTTGTTCAGCCTTTCCTAGGAGGTTGCCAAATTCTACTGTAGTTCACTGCATATTTTAAATGCTGGAAGTGGTTGTGCCCAAAGAAGGTCAAGAACATCGCTCCTGAGCAAGAGTGGGGATGCACTTGGGAAAGACAGAGGCTAAGATTTAGGTCACCTCTGGGGAGGTGATTTGTGTCCACCAAATCCTTAGTGTTTATTGGTATTCGTGCTTTTCTATGGGCTTTCTGCTTAATGTTCTAAATGAAGAGCAGTATTTTTAAGTGCCTTCAAGGTAATTTGCAATTATTTTAAATAAAAATGATCCAATCATCCTATAAACAGAATCGCTATCTTCTGTAAACAGAGCTGGCAAACATTTCATCAGTCTTAAAAATACTCCCTCCTTTGATTAGCCACCCTCCTCCCACAGCGGTGTTCCCTTTCCTTTTCAGAGTTCCTTAAAGCAACAGTTCAGACTACACTAGAAAGACRTGGGGACACTGGGAAGGAGTCCTCTAGAGATACAGAGGCTTGCCATTTTTCCTGTATGCTTCAGGATTTCTTAGGTTTCTTTTATTTTTCATGATTTATAAAATAAAAAGTACTAAAACTTTAGATAATGAACAAAACAGCAAGATCCGAACCACAAGAAAAACTGTAAGATTCAGGGATTACCTAGATCTTTCTATTTTTTTTTTTTTTTCCTGAGCACAAGATAGGCAAGAGCTATGTTAGAAAAATAGAAGTAATCACCATCAGGGTTTTCAGACATGACCTTGTCACTAGCTACCTGGACAATCAATGGAACTCTAAAATGCAAAACTGATTTTTGCTGACATTTTATTACATTGTTGAGGTCATTGGAAAACAATAGAAGATTAAGAATCCCAGGTTCCTTGGGTATACTGCAGCTGTTCTGATTGTAGGGAAACATTTAAATCCATTCACACTCTGAAATGCATATACCTGCAAAGTAGGGTTCCCTAATTGTCTGCAAGGACCTATCCTCCCTTCTTCCATGGCACCAGAACCTCAGTCTCTGGACAGGTACAATCCTATCGGGAATAAAGATCAAAATCCCCAGTCTCCCTTGTCAGGTGTGGCTACATAACTAAATTCTGGTTGGTATTATGTAACAGAAATATGTGGTATTTCTGCAAAGGATCCTTAAACGTGGGAGATTACCTTCTGCTTCCTCGAATGAATGTAGATTTTATAGCTGGAGCTCCAGCACCTATCTTAGACTTCAAGGGAACTAACCCTGAGGACAGAAGCCAAATGCTGATGGCAGAACAAGATATAAGCCTGAGTCCCTGATGGCACTCCCTGCCCCCCAGAAGAGGCACTCTCCTTTATCTACCCCAGACTCTTACATGAAACAGACACAGCATTTCTAATACCAAGTCTCTTGTATAAGGGATTAGCTGTTTGATTTGGGCCACTGAAAAAAGTTGTCACTGATACGTCTATCATACTGTACAAGTAATCTGGCTGCTCTGGGGTGAGGAATTTAGCTTCCTCCTCTGCAGAAATTCTTTCGCTCAACTAAAGATTACATAGCCAAAAAGAACCCATCAGAAAATACTAGCCTAGCATCTTCCCACAAGAGCAAAGGTTGCAATCAGCTCTGCCTCTGAGCATTTCCACTAACCCCAGCATCCTATCACTCCAGTCCAAACTGCTCAACTCCAGGTGTCTCCCTGAAAAAGCATGCCAGGTATAGGACATAGTGCACTGTTAATCAGACTGGCAGAGGTCATCAACTTCAGCACTTGTGCTCCAAACCAAATGTGTCCCCGGAGTCTAGGCACTGCATGGATGCACAAAACTGCCAACCTCTTATGTTTAACTATTATAACCAATAACAATAAATTATAAGAACTATATTAGTATATTGAAAGATGCTCTCTTGTTTTATAAGTACCCAGAAGTGTACCAGGATCCTAAATATAAAAAATATTAATAACAGTAATAACAGAACCGTATGACTGCTACTGTACTATTTGGCTAGCACTCTGCTGGGAACTATTATTTGGAGTTCAAATAAATATTATTACTCCTATTTTGTAGATGAGAAGATTGAGGCTCTCAGAGGCTCAAAAACTTAGCTAATACCCTATAGTCAAATCACGGCAGTGACTATAGCAGAACAGAAATGTTTATACATTTAAAATATTTTAGCTATATAATCTCATCTCTCAAACTATGAGGCAAAGTAATCCAAAGACAATCTTTATTTCCCTTTCTTCAGAACTACAATAAGCCATTATAATCCTACCTTTATGGGTTTTTTTATATATATATTTTTTAGTTGTAGTTCGACACAATATCTTTATTTATTTATTTTTTTTATGTGGTGCTGAGGATCGAACCAAGGGCCTTGCACATGCTAGGTGAGTGCTCTACCGCTGAGCCACAACCCCAGCCCTCCTACCTCTATTTTTTTAAAAAATATTTTAAAGTTGTTGATGGACCTTTATTTTATTTATTTGTATGTGGTGCCGAGAATCAAACCCATTGCCTCATGTATGCCAGGCAAGCATGCTACCACTGAGCCACAACCCCAGTTCCCCTCCTACCTCTATTTTATGCTGTCATGACCCCTTCTTAAAAACCAGAAACAAAAAAAAACTGATAGCATTTGTCAACAGATGGTAAATAATGCTAGAACACAAATGAAACAAATCACAAGTGTTCCCYCTTAATACCACCCTTCACTAACAGTTTCACTTCAGGGTGACCGATATGTTTCTAGAATAAGGGTCACTAGACAACTTTTAATTTGTACACAACCAAACTGAAAAGAAACACCTACAGTGACATGTTCTTGGGTAATTACAGCTCTATATGCCATTTCTTTTGACACAGGTCTGATTTATTTTCCACCTCTTTGTTGTGCTTTTGCTTTAATAAAAGAAAAGAATGCTGGAAGAAATTGAGCCCTTAAAGCATTCATTGAATCCATCTGCCATTTAGTCAGTATTCAAACAATAAGTGAGCTTAAAACAGAGGGAAAAAAAATCAATCTTCCTATTTGAAATAAGATCTGTCCTCATAGGAATATCTTTGTGTGTATGTGGGGGGGGATATTTCTATTTAATTTAAAGATATATATTTAAAAACATTAATTACATAAAAAGTTTACCATTAGAATAATTAAAATTGTATGGGGATGCTAGAAGCTAAAGAATTAAAATATTCCTATGAGAAGGAACCCAAACGGTAGGCTAGAGCGCCCTCTTTCTTCTCTTTGAAGAAATTCACGAAAGCTCCTCTCCCAGGAAGAAGTCACTGAGCCAACAGCTTAGCAATGCTCATGCTCTCAGAAGCATTATAGTATATCAATTGTTCATTATTTATAAGTGATTTTACAGGTAGAAAACACAGGACTTTCAAAAATAGAAATACTCACAAAGCCATTTCAAACTGCTCCAGCCATTTTTTCTTTAAATCTTTTGTTTTGCAATAAAATTCTAAACCATTTTGTCCTTGGATGTGGATGAGGTAGAAGCCATAAGACCACTGTTAAAAATTAATATTATCTGGATTAATATGCATTATTTATTAAAGATGCAATATTTCCAAACTCACTAAAACATTACCATAACTATTCAAGTACCCCCTCATAACGTAACCATAAACTGTGAACAATTAGACTTCTTATTACTGTCAACTTCCTCTCCATAATACACGTTTTACTGTCTTGCTCTTGTGGCATGTGAGATAATCAAAGCAGTGGTAGTACTGTCCAACCACATCTCACAGAGGCCTGTACCTCATCAATCTCTAGGAACAAAACAGCTGGATCACAAGCCACATTGCACACTAACACACAGTCAGGCCTCTGCTGTGCAGTTTCCTCATCCCCAGATCCAATCAACCAAATATGGAAAATATTTTTTAAAATTCCATTTCTATTGAACATATATAAATTTTTCCTTTTCATTATCCCTACACATTACACCACAATGATTATTTACATAGGAATTACAATGTAGCATGTATTATAAGTACTTAAGAGGTAAAGTACATAGGAAGATATGTGTAGGTTAAATGCAAATCCTGTGTCATTTTATATGAGGAACATGAACAAATTTTGATATTCATAATGGAGGGGAGGGACTCTTGAATATAAAGGGATGACTGTATTAGCATACTTTTCCTGCTCTTGTGGCTTGTGAGAGGGGTGAACTTATAATCATCAAAGTTATAAGTAAATTATAGTTACTAATGTCCAAGACATCACCTTTTTATTTTCTTTATCAGTTGTAGGATTGTTGGCTATCTTGTACTGTTGAAGATCTATTATTTCTTTCATTTCATAGTTATCACCTTTTCTTTTACATACAATCACTGCCAAATCAAATAAGAAGATGTGCCTGTGAAAGAGAAAGAGAGATTGACTGATGGATGTTCAATGGTTTAGAAGCACATGTATAAACTTTTTCCTGGTAAAATGTAAGTATACCAACCAACCATTTTTCCTTTGGATTAGACAGCGAGGTGTTTCACATTGAAAAAAAGGAGAGATGTGACTTAATAAAAATGGCATGTACCCAGGCACTATCCTTTACCACATGAATGCCCTACATGCATCTCAGTTCCTTCATTTAAAAAAAATGAGCAAAATGATAATAAGAGAAATATACATATTGCAGAGTTGTTGAAAGGACCCATTGAGATTAGCCATAAAGCTTGTTCATGGGCAATTGCTTTTTTTGATTATTTAAAAGCTAAAAATTTTAAAAACTATTAATGAAAAGTGTATCAGTGAACTTCTGCTAAGGTACTTGTAATCAGTCAGAATGCCCTGAGAAGAATTCACCCCTCTCACAAGCAGGGCTAAATTCAAGTCCTCAGAACCCCTGCTGGGTGAACATTAGTATCATCATTTCACTGGGGATCAAACAGACTTAGAGTTACTAGATAATTTGCACCAGGAAGGTGCACAGCAAGATTCATACCCAGCTCTAATGTCAGAACCCAGGCTTTTACCCTTTATGTTGTTCTTCATGATTTAATGAACTTACTGAAGCACAAATAGATGGTGTATGAGCAAAATGTAAAATAGAGAAGTTATGGTTAAATTTCCATGTCAAAATTTCTCTTATTTCTTATTAAAAATGATGTAATGGGGAGGGGGGGAAACATTATAATCCTATCACCCAATATCAGTATTTGTGTTTTTGTAAACTCTTGGAGATTAACATGTATATATGTTAACACAGTGATGATGACAATGATACTTTTACAAAGCTCTAACGCTGTGATTACTTTTAAAGTCTGTGGTTTAAAGGACGTGAGGCTCCTGAGAACTACCTGTAGAGCCCAGGTATCAAGGTGAAAGCAAGAGCTGATGCTGCCCCCTGCTGGCTGGCTTCATATTCTCCAAAGAGCCCAGAAAATAACCACAAAAGCATCAATGGGACACTCACATATACAATTAAGGACTCCTTGCCTTAAATATATGACAAATTTCCCTCAAGAAAAACATCACTTCAGGGTACTCTATCTTCCCTTAAGGCCATTTTCTGTCATTTTGAGTCATTTTTGAATGAATACCCTAAAGACCAATTATGTTTTTCTGGTAGTTACTTATGTTACTTCATCTTTATTCATCTCAATTATCATTTCTAGGCACTGATCTTTCATATTTTTAATTTTTTTTCTTAATAACTCAGACACATAACAGATTCCAGGACAAAAAGTATAATACCTATATCAAAAAAAAAATTTAGGAACCATGGGTTGATCTGTCCCTTTTTCTTCTATTCTTCTCCTCCTTCATCCTCGAAAATTTGTTTTAAGGTTTTCTCCATCTTCTGATACTAATTACTGACTTTGAGAATAAGCATTGCTCTTCTCACCTTTCTTGCTTTGTATGCTTGTCCAGAGTGGTTATTCGAATTTCACCATCTCCCTGAGGTCTTCCAAAGAGCAAAACTGGCTGGTTCTAGAATATCAAATGTATATGTCTGAAYTCTTCATAATCACACAAAAAACAGAAACAAACATTAGCAAAGACATTTCCCCAAGAAAAATATCTTATTATGTTACAAATGTTATCAATTTACATATTTTAGCATACTTAAAAAGCTCAAGACTACATGACACACTATTAAAAAYAGTCTGTCCTTTATAATGGGGGAATATGTTAATTAATTTTACTTAAAATGGAATAATCTTAAAGTAATCTTAAAAGTTAGATAGATATCAAAAGAGAAATAACTATAAGAATATAAATCACAAGAAAATTCTAGCAATTGATGCTTGCTAAGTATCTACTGTGTGCCAACCACTATAACAATCATAGGGCAGCATGACCTAGACTCTGCCCTCATGAACCATACTCCCCAGTGGGGGCACAATATTCACAGATGCAAATCGGACAAACGCACCACTTCCCTGAAGGAAGAGTACAAGGAGGGGATCTAACTTGGTCAAGAGAGTCCGGACTGACTTTCTTGAGCTAAGATCTCAAAGATGAAAAGTTTTGACTTAATGATTAAAAATAATGAGCTATTTCTCCAGAGGCAGGCGATTAAATTATTCTTTTAAAAAGTAATTATGAGTACTTACTGTACTTGCCAACTGAAAAAATAATTGGCTGAATATTATCACTAACACCTGGAGATTCCATTGTAATAAAGAGCATAAGTGTGTGATTAACAGTTACAAGAACAGTAGAAAATTAAATATTCCATATCAAAATCTCAATGATGTTTTTTGCAGAAATTGAAAATTCCATTCTAAAATCCATATGGAATCTCAAGTGACCCTGAAAAAGAATAAGGCTAGATATTTCACACTTCTGATTATAAAACTTTTTCCAAAGCTACAATAATCAAAACAATGTGGCACTAACAAAAAGACAGACACATGGACCAACAGAATAGTAGAGAGCTCAGAAATAAACTTTTAGCAGTAAAAATTATTTTTGACAAGGGCACCAAAAATATTCATTGGTAAAAGGACAAATGGTAGTAGGAAAACTGGATATCAATATGCACATACAAAATAGTAAAGTCAAAACCATACTTTATAAAGATGAACTCAAAATGAATCAAAGACCCAAAGTAAGGTATAAAACTATAAAAGTCTTCAAAAATTGAGGAAAAGCTTTATAACAGTAGATTGGGCAGTGATTTTTTGGATATGATACCAAATGCAAACAACAAAAGACTGATAAATTGGATTTCATCAAAATTTAAAACTTTTTTGCGTTAAGGACACTATAAACAAAATGAAAAGACAACCCACAGAAGAAAGTATTTGCAAATTGTTTTTCAGATATGAGATTGATGTGTGGATATACACAAAGAACACCTACAAACTCAATGACAAAACCAAGCAATCTAATGGTGCAAGCATTTGAATGGACCCGCCTCCAAAGAAGATAGACAAATGACAAAAAAACACATGAAAAAAATGTTCTGCATCATTTATCATTTGGAAAATGCAAAGTGGATCCACAATAAACTATCACTGCACACTCAATGGGATGTCTATCATTTATACACATATCATACATGTGCGTAGATGAGCGTAGAGGTGTGTGTGTGTGTGTGTGTGTGTGTGTGGTTTTTTAACCCCCCCCCCAAAAAAAAACCCAAATACAAAATTAACAAATGCTGGCAAGGGTGAGGAGAAACTCAAACACTTGTGCATTGCTAGTAGGAATGTAAAATGGTGTAGATTCTGTGAAAAATGGAATGAAAATTAAGTACAAAATTACCATACAATAGAGAAACTCTAATTCTGGGTATGCAAACAAAAGAAGTGACAGTAGACATTGGAATAGATCCTGGCACACCCATGTACAGCAGTATTATTCATGATAGATGAAAGGTGGAAGCGACCCAAATTTTCATCAATGAGACTCACAGATAAATAAAACATGGGGTATACATATCCTATATCATCAGCCTTAAAGGAGCAAAGTTTTTTATAAGAAGAAAATTTTGACACATGCTACAATATAGATGAACCCTAAACATTATGCTGAGTAAAATAAGCCAACATCAAAGGACAAATATTATACAAGTCCATTTATCTGAGGTACCCAAAGCAGTCAAACTTATAGAGACAGAAATTAGAGTACTGGTTGTGGGGACTGGTGGGAGGGCGAACTGGAAGTTTGGGGTTAATGAGTATAGTGCTTCAATTTTGCAAGATGAAGAGAGTTCTGGAGATGGATGGTGGTGATGGTTGCCCAACATGATAAATGTATTTAATGTCAAAGAAGTGTGCACTTAAATGGTTAAGATAGTAATTTAATATTATATTTTATTATATTTTTATATGCAGCTATCCAGGCAACATGCTGCAGAATTCCAAAGAGAACCAAATAATGGGAGAATAGGGAAAGGGATTTTTTTTTTTTTTTTTTAGATTGGACTTTCAAGGAATTTGATGGGGAGAGCCATGGTAGGCTCTGAGAAGATTATGATCAAAGGCAGAACCATGCAAATGCAGGGCAAACTGGAGATTCTATGGTTAAACACAGCACAAGATCTAGAATGGGAAATGTGTGGGCAATTATCTGAGTTCAGGAAAATAAGTTTAAGTCCAGATCAACTGAGGGCCTGAAATGTCTGCTAAGGAATGATGATTGAACATTGAAAGCAACAGAAAATCTTTACAAGTTTGGCAAAGAGGGAGAACTGAGAAATCCACATTTTGGAACAGTAACTATGTAAAGGCTCCTGGGATTGGGTAGGAGGTAAATGGTGTCCCCAAATAGGTAGATTCAAGATGTTTTGGAGAAGGAAGCAATAAAATTACTCTTCTAAAACAAGTATCTTATATCTATTCTCTATTTGCACTGCCCTCCAGGTTAATCCAGGCCTCCCTTCTCTGGGAAACCACTTTTAACAGCTTGCTGACTGGGCTACCAGTACAAAGGGTCCTCTTGAAATGTCAATCACTACCAGACAGAAACCTAGCACCAGCTTCCCCTGGCTGTCACTGTGAAATCTCAACTCATCCTTGGCCTAGGGCTGTGCTGTGCTGTTTCCAGCCCCTCTGGTCACCCCACAGAGGGCCACTCTTAATTTACTTTGGATTTCCAACCACCCTTACCCTTTATCACTTGCCCACCTCTGAGTATCTGAGTTGCTAAGGTTTCTGCCTAGGTAGATCTCCCCCCAGATCCTCCTGTGGCTGCTCAGCATCTTTTAGGTCCCAGTTCAAGTGGTGATGACTCCAAAGGATTAAGCAAAAACTCCCCTTAGTTCCCTCTGCTACAGCACCCAGCTCAAAACACCATCCTCAATGGGACATTTTTAAACCCTCTCTGACTGCTTCCTCAATCAGGATACCCCTTGTTCATGGTGATAGTCATGCCCTGAGCAAGGTAGAGTCTGGCACACAGTGGTCACCCAGAAAATATATGTAAAATGAGCAAGTGAGCTGCTCTCAGCTGTGACTATGCATGGGCATAAAGAGCAAAGGAAACAGTGGATTTCAGTGCTTGGAATTCAGACTGCTGGAACAGAAAGTCCCTGGATAAGGAGGAGTAAAACAGGAGTAGCAGGTGCCTCCAGATATCTATGAACTGCCAAACAGAGGAAGGGGGGGTGTGCAGGGAGCAGGACTCTAACAGCAGAAACTTCAAGGTAAACTATCTTTTCGTCTTCAACTGCAGCTCTTAAAAGTTCCCAAACTGGGGGGGTGAGGGGAAGCTGGATGGAAGGATAATTACATACCAAATTTTCTATAGATAGCTGAAACTGTTTAATTTCACGAAGGGTCTCATTATCTCTTTTCACTTCATTCACATATTGTGCCAAGTCCTAAAGAATGAAGACAAGAAGGCACACTAAGATTAGAGGAGAGATGCAAACCGCTTTGAAAGAAAACACATCATTAATTCCATTAGGGGTAAATGTAACCACCATTACTCTGCAATGACAATAAAATGAAGACCCAATCAATCAAAGCTGCATCTCAAAGGCAATTGTGAAATGTCAGGACAGCTGGAAGACTGAAGAGTTGTCATTTACCACACCCCAGAGAAGAGTCAGGATGCTGCTGCCTTAAAAAACCCAAACAAACAAAATATGCTGCTATGCAGAGCAACCCAAAAGAAACTAGGTCAGAAGAATGTCAATTCCGAGCACAGTAATGCCTGACCTTGATAGAATTATATTTTTACTCAGGTTAGAACAAGGGCAACAGTGAAGGATTTGCAGGGAGAAAAAAAAAAGTAACTAAAAGTTATACAGTGAACCTAAGGGAGACTCTTTTCTGCAACCAGTTAATGTCTTGTTAGTTCCTGAGAGCATTCAGTCAAGCAGGCTGGCTCAATTTTAAAGAGTTAATAAAGAAGAAATAAAGGAGAGCTGATGAACTAAACAGAACAACAACAACAACAACAAAATGAAACAAAGTGAACAAAAAACACTAGCCATGTTTCTCCATGTGCCTTCACCTACTTTAAAATGGCTTTTCTTATATTTGAGGAAACATTAGCTAATCTCCCCATACTGTAACCAGCTATTTTTATTACATGTGCTCCAGATTTTCCTGTTTTGTGAGCTCTTTCTCTTTTTTCTCTCCCCTCTTAAATTCATCTGCAACAGTAGGAACCAACCCTCAAAAAGCAGTTCCTAACTTTGTTCTCAACAGAAATCTGACTTTTCTTACTATGTAGGCATATACGGCTTCTTCAAAGATAGGAAACTTGGTAGAATCTTTTTTGTAATAATAATTGTGATATTTCCTGATAGTGGAACTAAAAGGAATGAAACATCAAAGCTGACACTGAAACTAGTACAGAGACACAGATGAGTAGCTATACATAGTTCTGAGCAGTTCTGTCACATTCTCATTTTGTTTTTTTAAGAACAAATATTTGCTTGTTTTAAATGAGGGGCAGATATTATTTCCTTCAGCATAACGTGGAAATTGGGATTTTACATAGTTCCAATACGTTCAAAAAATCTGCTTTTATCTACCTGTATTTCTTAAATTCAGACTTAATTGAAAACAAAAGTCCAAACTTGAAATTCACTTGTAAAGTTCACCGGCATCCAAAAGAGTAAACCAGATTGATCCTGTCGTGTGAGGAAAATGAGCCACAATGGTGTTCCTGAAGCCTACAGTTGACCTGATGTTTACACAAGCCAACAGTTTTCTATTAGCAACCATAAAAGAACACGGAACAAAAACCATTATATCAAGGCACTCTGGCAGTTATGAAAGTTAGCAAACTTCAAAAGTTATTTTAATACATCTCTTAATGTTATAAGTTCTTGTCCTACATCAAATCCATGCAAGTCTATCTATATTGGTAGATAAATAAATGCATATTATAATGTATTAGCATATCATATATACATGTTAGTAGTCTGAATACTATTGTTTAAAAATTATAAACAAGTGACAGATACATTTGCTTTACCTTCATAGCATCAAGAGCCAGTTTCAGATTCGCTTTCTCAATGGGATCAGTGGTATGTTTGACAAGTTCCTATTTGGAAGAAATGGTTTAATACATCAAATCAAAACTAACACATAAGAAAWTTTTTTTAAAAAAATAAATCATTATTATCATTATTCTCTTATCCATAATGTGATACATTTTATGTAATGAGGCTTTATTTTCACAAAAAAATTTCCAACTGCAAGAAGACCGGGTAGACATTAAAAGAGCAGGAAACATGCTTGGATACATCTTCTTTTCAAAGACCAAGCTGAATTCTATACCCCGCCACCAGATGCTGCTTCCCCAACATTATGCAAGAGTTCCTAATGGCTAACTTCACTGACACCTTTTTACTCACTATCATACATGGATTCTCTCTAGCTGCTGGTTTTGAGGACCACATCTCCCTTCATTTCACAGACATCAGCATGTTCTGTTTATTGTTACTGCTGATATCATTTTCATAAATCCTCCATTTCTGCCAATTCCCCAGTCCTCAGTTACTTCTTTTGTTAACTGTATCTTAGAAAGTTATTGCTCCCTGGATCTTTACTCCAGGTCCCTCTCATTCTTATTTTACACTATTATGGTTTGGATGTGAGGGGTCTCCTAAAAGTTCACACGTGGATAAAGCAAGAGTGTTCAGAGAGGAAATGTCTGGGTTATGACAGCCTTAACCCAATCACTGAATTCATCATCTGATGGGACTGAGTGGTAACTGAAGGCAGGTGGGGTGTGGCTGGAGAAGGTAGAGCACTGGGAATGTGGCTTTGGGGCATATATTTGTATCTGACAAGTGAAGTCTCTCTCTCTCTGTTTCCTGATCATCATATAAGTTGCTTCCCTCTCCCACACTCTTCCTCCATGATGTTCAGCCTCTCCTGGAGCTCCTAGGGAATGAAGTTGGCTATCTATGGATTTAGACTTCTGAAATCCTAAGTCCCCAAATAAACTTTCCTCCTCGACAGTTGTTCTGGTTCAGTGTTTTAGCCACAGCTTTGAAAAAGCTGACTATAACATACACAGTCTACAATTCTACCACAATCACAGTCAGACTGTCAACATCTCCTATTGAGGTTCACTCTCAAATACATACTCTCAACCCAGAACTCAAGCCTGAGTCCCAGACTCACATCCATCTAAACAGTTCTAACTGAATAGATTACAGGCACCTCAAATCCAACATGCCCCACATGGAACCCACCCTTACCCAGAACCCTATTCTTGTTCCTGCATTTGTTATTATTGAATAATGGCATCTTCATCCATTTAATCACATAGGCCAAACCTAGAATGTGTCCCAGACTCCTTCTGTGCCTCTGTCCATGTCTTACTGATGTTAGCTTTGACCCTGCCCTGGAAACCATCCTCCCTGACACTCCCCTGCCCTTTCTCAAATGGGTAAGTAGAATGGGGCTCTGACCTATCTTCTGATTTGTAGTCTTTCCACAGAACCATCAATTCCCTCCATTGGCCTCAGAGTTAGGACCCCAGGAGATCACACTTCCACCCTATTTAGCCTTCTATGATGCCCCACAAGTGCTTTGATTGTCACTCAGACCTCCCAGTCAGACTCCATGGTCTCCATCCTGCACACCTTCTTCAACTTCTCTCCCTTCACTTCCAAACAACCCATATTCTATTCATACTCAATTAACTGTAATTCTCAAAATATGTTCTGATACTTAATCCCAAAAGAATTATTATTTTCTCTCTTTCAAAAGCTCTTCCTCTCTGATCCACCTGTCCAACTCTTGCTCTTCCTTCAAAGCCCAACTCAACAATCACTCCTCTGGGAAGCTGGTCTCTACCGAGCTCCCTGGCCTTCTCAGGCATAATAATCTGTATGTCTATCATACTGTGTTCCTGGGCAGATCACACTTCATGCTTTCCTTCTAAAGGGTGAGCTTATCAGTGCATAGGACCTGTCATGTCGTAAGTGCCTGATGCTGTGTCTGGCACAGGGAACCACCCAAAATATTTTATGAATTCAATGCCAGTAGTGCTTCAGCTTATATATAGAGAATCTGCTCAGTATAAAAATGTGTCAAAATTCTATCCCTTTATTTCCATTTTTATTCTATTAAATAAAAATCTATATATATATATATATATATATATATATATATATATATATATATATTACACAAAACAAAACCTATCATAATTATTTTTGGGGGGATACAAAGGATTGAACCCAAGGGCAGTCAAGCAGGGAACCACATCCCAAGCCCTTTTATACATTTACTTAGAAACAGGGTTTCTAAGCATCTTATGGCCTTGCTAAGTTGCTGAGGCTGGCTTTGAACTCATGATCCTCCTGTTTCAGTCTCCTGAGCCACTGGGATTACAGTCATGTGCCACCATGCCTGGCCAAACTTTTCATAATTTAAAAGTTGATCATGGAACTAAATATACACTTAAAAATTTAAATACAAAGCAAACCAAGAGAAACTAAGGAGAGAAGTATACTGGATTTCAAAAAAGTATAATTTCATAGTTCTATAAGTCTGTGTAAAACCATATAAGGACCAAAATAGATAATGCTTTAAAATTGAACCTTCTAAATTCTTCAATCAATATTTGACTACACCAAAGTTACAAAATAAATTATCTTATTCTAGACAAGTTTTTAGTTCCATGATGCTTTGGAAACTGATTGCCTGAGTCTTCCTTATTATTTTTTCATAAAATCCAATTTGATTAAGTTGCTTTGAGTTTAGGTCTCATAAATGTTTTAATGCATTTTTAAGGAATAATCAAGGTTTGAATTTTTCTGATTTCTCAGTAGAACAAAAATAGAGATGACTAATAATTTTGTGGCTACAGTTCAAGAAATTTAATATACAAGATGTACAAAGCACAGCAGACTCAAAATTATATTTCACATACAGGTAGTAGATCTTTTTAAAATGACATTTCACAAGCATCAGCAGAGTTGACAGACTAATACAGTAAGACATTTCTTTGGAGCAGAACTAATGAGTCTCCTGGTATAGCTATCAAATTAAATTTATAAGACTCTCCACCCTCATTAGAAGACTAACCGTGGAAACCATAAGCTTTGTGGGTTATAACAAGAATCACTTCAAAATAAATGTAGTCTTATTACAATTTAGTACAGTAGAAAACAATACAGAATGTGACACAAACCTTTTACACTTGTTACAATGCAAAGAGTCTAATATGATCAATCTCCCCAAATTCAGAAGCAGTGAAACACTAATAAATGATTACTGTTAACTACAGAAGACTTGGCAGAGGGCATATCTTTGTTTTTGTTTTGCCTCATTTTTTTTTTAGCCTGTCCTGTTTGATGGACACAGACTACAACTTTGTGGCAAATACCAAATCATCTTTACTGAAAGGAGGAAAAAATGCCCAGCTAAAAATGTCCAGCTAAATGCCCAGTAGAATGTATCAAACATAACTTTCCTATGTTCATACATGAATGTAAAACCAGTGTAACTCCACATCATGTACAGCCACAAGAATGGGAAGATATACTCCATGTATGCATATGTCAAAATACACTCTACCATCATGTATATATAAAAAGAATAAATAATTTTTAAAAATGTCCAATTATGGGCTGGGGATAGAGCTCAATTGGTAGAGTGCTTGCCTCAAATGCACAAGGCCCTGGGTTCAAACCCCAGCACCACCAAAAAAAAAAAAAAAAAAAATTGTCCAGTTATTCTGAACATTTCCCACTTAGCCATACAATAATTTAAAACTTTAAGAAAAGAGACCCAAAACACAGCTGATGCTTTTTAAATATTTTTTGAACAAATAAATGAGCAGTAAGCAGTTTTCAGTTACATACCTGGAGAAGAAGGTGATACTTTAAAACACGTTGCATAGGAACCACAAGCAAATCTCGAAGAGTAAATTTCCCATTATTTGCTCTTTTGGAACATTCCTAAGGAAATGTTTTTTAAAATTGCTGTTAGTTTTCTCAAGGGAAGTCTTAAACATTAAAAGTTGCAGAGTCTATAAGAAGGACCATTATACTCTAAATATTTTGCTTTTTTTAAATAATCCTCCTCTCTAAATAATACAAGGTAGCTTTTAAAAACAAACAGAACTTATAGTATTTCAAATCAAATATGACTCAAAGAGAACTATTTTATTAATGCATATTATTTTTCTAGTGCAAAATCATATATCTCCAGGATCTTCTTCAGTTTACCCTCATAGCTCTACTTCTGCCAGTCTCCCCCAGTGGGAGACATCAAGAACAAGTCACTCGTCATCCTCTTTAAGAACTATGCTTCTAGGTCTTTAGGAATAGTCCCAATCAAAATTGTGTTTTCTCTTTCCCTTCCTCCACCTTTCTCTATGTATGCCTGTGGGTCACTTAATTTTATATATATATATATATATATATATATATATATATATGATTATAGATAATCTCCATAATTATATAAATTTATGAATATATAGTTATATAAATTATATTTATATTTACATGTGTCTTCCCCAACATATCCTTTAAACCTTTCATATGTCCTTTACATCTATCAGAATCCAGTATTTGCTTAATAAACATTTATTGAACTGAATGAAAGAGAATATTTGAGGATACATTGGAAGATGTATTACCAGGAGCCTGAAAATTTGTGAATCTATAAGCCTATTAACTCAATGTTTTYAAAAGCCTCAGATTTTATCTTCTTAATCTCACATTAGTATTTCTTTGAAGTTTATTTAAAAATAGCATTTACTCCCTTATTCCCTTTTGACAGTAATTCTGATGCGAAGAAAAATGCTTTGAATTTGAGATGGCAAAGCATGAATTCAGGCCAAGGCTTGGTAACTTTTGGTTGTGTGGCCTTGGACAAGTTACTTTTCTGATTTTACCATTTATCACATACCTGTGGTATCATTAAAAATAAAGTTACAAAAACATCATTAGTAGTGAACCACCACATAAATCCAAAATCCTCATGCAACTGCACAACCTATTTCAAAGACTTTTTCAGTACATGGAAGGATTTATGTTAAGAAATACTTGCTTGCTGACATGTTCCCCGTTTGCCCACACTTAGCTTTCTTAGAACATTGGAAGATGTATTACCAGGAGCCATAGAGCAAACACCATTAATTCCAATAACCATAGTGGCTTACTGAGTGTGTTTGACTACAAAATCTTAAGCAAAATAAACTGAAACAATTTCCCAAAATGTTAGCTTGTGTTTTATCAATTATTGTAATTTACTGGAAGATGTTATGATTTGGATCTACGAGTGTCCTCCCCAAAAGATCATGAGTTAGGCAATGCATTAATGTTCAGAGGTATTATGAGAGCTGTAACCTCATCATTGGATTAATCAATTGGGTTGAAATAATAATCTGAATGGACTACTGGGTAGTAACTGTAGGCAGCTGGACAAGGCTGGAGGAGATAGGTCACTGGGGATAGGTACTTGGGACTATATCTTGTCCCTGGCTCCCATCTCTCTGCTTCCTGGCTGCTGTGAACTGAGCAATGCTCCCCCACCATGCTCTTCCAGCATGATGGTCTGCCTCACATCAAGTCTAGAGCAATGGAGTCAACCAACCATGGACTGAGATATCTAAAATTATGAGTCCAAATAGACTTTTCTTCCTCCAACTAATTATAGGCAGGCATTTTGGTTATAGTGATATGAAACTGAGTAACACAGAACAATAACAATTTCAACTCATTTCTTACTTTCTTACAGAGAGTTCTGAATCATGGGTGTCAAACAGGAGAATAACTGGGTAGGTTTTCTCTCCCCAACTACATTTTAAGCTGCTTGGAATGGATGCTGCAACTCACAGGTCATATATTATGCCATTGCAACAGTGTTAGGAGCAGAAAGTCACACATTTAAAAGCCACTATGTTATGGATGTTAGTTTAAAACTGTTAGGGGAAAATTAGTTCCTTTAAAATCTATGGCATAGGGCTGGGGATGTGGCTCAAGTGGTAGCGCACTCGCCTGGCATGCGCGAGGCACTGGGTTCGATCCTCAACACCACATAAAGATAAAAAAAAAAAGATATTGTGTCCACCTAAAACTAAAAAAAAATATATTAAAAAAAATTCTATGGCATGGGTTCAAGAAGTAAAAATAACAATATTACTGGCATGAGCTACAGCTAGGGGCTGGAGAATGAGGTATAAAATGCTTATTGATACTGAAAGTAAATAAAGTGTAGACATTTTTATTGAAAGCAAATAAAGGATAGAAATAGTATCTACTCACTTACATAGCCTAAAGTCAATTTTAATTGGAAGGAAAATAAAAAGGAATCAGGTTCAGGCCTCATAGGGAAAGCTAAAGAGACTCCATCACCTTTTACCCCAAGTTATTTTGGTTCCAAAGTAGAGAAGAAAAATACCAAAAAAAAAAAAAATCAATAAGAACAAAAATAACCACARAGCAGAAGACAGGAAGAAGTCAGTGACACTAAGAACAAGGCAGCTTTTCGTCTGTCATGCTGGGGCCTGCAGAAGGCAATCCCAACAGAGGACTTGTTGAAGTGGTACAGCATCTGATTAAACACTTCCAAATCAGGCCAATGGTCACATGAAGGGCAGTGGGGCCCAGAAAGGACAATTGACACCACCTGCCCCTGAGCATTTCACACTCTGTCTGAAGCCCACTTCTTCTCTAAGACTGATAGAGACTGCACCTAGAGACCCAGAGTGTGGTCAGTGGGCAGGACTTTGACACTGATTCTGAAAGAAGAAGAGCAGGCAATCCGACAAGACTGAGAAAATAATGGAAGTTTGATTGACAACCCGCTGACTCCTATCTTGAACCACAATTTTGTATCTTTATTTAAAATTTAAAAAACTAATAGATGCTYTGCTAGAAACTACTTATATCAGTTGTAAAGTTTTGTTTTATTATGATATTTTAATTCGTATCAAGCTGGCTTATCACTAAACTTTATGAGTCTCTATTTTCTAAAGAGGAGCAAGAATCTTTCACATTAACAGTCTTGCAAGAATACTGTTGAGCAGTGATTAACCTATCTCCAGCCATAAAGGTCAACATCATCAAGGGACACTAAGAGGCAAAGAAAAAAAGATCTATGATATTGATTTAGGACAGTTACTTGGTGACCTGCTATTGTGTAAACTTCCTAAGCAATAGTTTCCTTTGTGAGAATTGAGAATTATGAAATTTTGCTGGATCTACCAAAATAGTGACAGGGTTCTGATTTGAAAATCGTCTGCCTTTTTCCCATTTGTCATTGGACCTCACTGACAAACTCAACTCAAAAGAGGAAAGGGGATGTTGAAGATGCAAAAAAGCTACACGTGGACATAGAACAGTTGACCTCATTTCTTTACCTGAAATTTAAGAAAATCAAACACAAGGAGGATATATATTTAAGATGATAATTTATGTAACAATTGTTTTTCAAAAGCTCTTTTAAAGTATAAACTCTTCTGGTGGAAAAATACATACATGATGTACAAAAACCATGACTTAACATAAATCAGCTCCCACTCTTTCTTTTGTAACCATGTGCTCTACTTCCCCCAATCAACTGGCCACATCTCAAACTTTCCTCACTCTTCCCATCAAGATACATAACTCCTCCAGAATGCCCTTATGGAATTTCAACTGCCAAAATCAACCCCACTCTTCAAGAAGCTAGCTCACACGCTGCCTCTGCAGATAAACTTTCCACAATCTGTGGCCCCTGAAGTAATCTCATCTTACTCTTAGAACCCTCCAAAGCAGAGCTTATCCCAGTCCTCTCAGCCTTATCATATTTATGTTTGTCTTTTTTCTTATAAACAATATCTATGCCCTTCTTAAACTCATCTTATTCATCATCTTATTCATCCTGTACCTCTTACTACCTAGGTGAGTCTGGCAAATTACTCATCATCTCTCCAAACCTCAACTTTCTTATTAGGAAAATGAGAAACTTAATTGTACACATCTCACAAAGTCAGGGAGACCTAAGAAGATTATATAAAACACAGAAACATAAAAGTTAGATTTTGCCCGTTATTATTACTACCACATTGTTATTTTATAAAGCGATCTGTTAAATATTTTATAAAATTGACATGAAATTATATTTAGAATACATGGAATAATGTAGTGTTGCATTGGTCAGGAAGAGGAATACATTGCTTTTAAGTTGATTTTAGTTTATGTCATGAAAAAAAGAAAAAATAGACACCTCTAATTTCAGTCTGACATCTTCTTTTGTTTTAGAAATATAATCTAAATTAGAGATGGCTGACTCCACTCCACTGCAGTACTGCCCATAAATAACCAATCTGAAAAGGAAAAAGAGAGAGGAAGAAATCTGTTAGACAAAAGCAAAAAACCAGGTGGAGTGGGGGAAAGGGCATAACTTTTCATCTCTTTAAAATCACAGCTGAGGATAAGCAAAGCAACAGTAGAAATCCTTTTTAACACATAACACATATACAAAGAATGCAGGTCACTCATATTTACAGTAATAAAAAGACTCATTTTTAATTCCAAATTTGAATAAGATTAATTCCATGTACATTTTTATATCAGGTAGATTTTATGATCTGGCTTAATGACAATTAATGTCATTTGAGTAGATGTGTATATTTATAACTCAAAAAATTAAAAATTTATTGTTAAGCTATTAGAGATAAACTTGGAATGTATACTCACTCTCAAAACCATTTTATTTTTTCCATTATAAGCTCACTGCAATCACTATGACTCCACTCATTAATAAACCTCCCACTCCTTACTACTTTTTAATTAAGGAACATACATCATATAAAAAGTGGAAATGAGAGGCCTGAACTATGAGATAACTCATAACTGTTCAGAGTCTGAGTCTGTCCAGGAAGGCCATCTCTCTAATACAGATATTTTGTAAAGAAACTGTTTGGTTTACTGTCTCTTTTAACCCTCTGCCAGAAAAAAAAAACTACTAGTAAATTGTTAGTATTTATCTAAATGTTGATGCAAAGCAATTCATTAGCCATTTCTTAGTACTAGAAACTGTATTGCTTAAATGAGAGAATATTTACATTTTAAGTAAAATTTCTTGATATTCCAATTCTTATGAATCATTCAGGAGTTTTGTTTGGTTTGTTTCAATTCAGAAAGAGAAACTGACTTTGAAGCTAATTCTCCAAAATAGAAAATCATAAAATACTTGAGTTGGAAGAAGCATTAGGTTCCTGCTAATCTGCCCCTGATGCTCATGAATTGGGAAAAAAGAGGCTCAGAGAGTTAAAATGACTTAGTGCAAGATTACATCATTTAGTCGAGACAAGGCCAGAGGAAGAACCTCTGCCTTTTAATTTACCATGCAAAAGTTAACATACATAAAAAGCTCAAACTAATACCCTGAGATCAATCGTCCCATATCCTAATACTACCTAGCTAGTACTGTAACAACTATATTTAATAGCTATTAGCCATTTTCATACTAGTCTTCACCATAATTATAAACTGATACCGACAAGGTTTTAAGTTCAAGAGTTACCTTTCCTTGTAGTTAATGAAAACTTGATACAAATTCTGGTCATTTTTATTTACAATGGAATCATGAATTTCTTGCATTAAGTTCCGATGAACTTTTACAAGTTCCTTAGGAAAAAAAACAATGGGAAATAAGAGTAAGAGTCAGAACCAAAAATATACCCAAATATACTGGACTTGCCACTCAGGATATGCTGAATGTTCTCAATATATAAACCTGTTACCATTAGGGAAGAGAGGAAGATTTAGAAGGGAGGAAGGCAGGGTGGAGGAGGGAGAGCAGAAGGGCAAGAGGTAAAGGAAGAAGAGGGAGAAGAAAAGGGAAATGGGGAGGGAGAAAGGAAGAGAAGGAAAGAGAGACAGGCATGGGAAATAGAAATTTCAGATCTAACTAGAAATGTCTGTGTCCTGTGAAGAAAGAAATTATCCCACTGGCTATTAAAGGATAATTTATTTCTTGTACAAAAATATGTATAGCTTTTTCATTTTTATAATTGCTGCAAATTTTTAAATAAAACTTCCCAAGTACTTAATGTTTTATTGACAGAATAAAGTAATGATTCATGTCCTTAGGACATAGAAATGTAGATTTGTACTCTGGTCAATTAGTGGTGTCCTGGTGATAAGTTAACAATAATCAGACTAAATTACTTGAAACCAGACAAATAATGGCATAAATAAGAAGCAAATTAATTGTACTAGACAATTTACTAAAGCAACTCAAAAGACAGAATTCTACATTTTTCCTGATAAGCGAGTAATTTTCAATTGCCAGTAAACACATGTCACAGACAGGAAATTTGAGTCAAGGTACCAATTTTCCCTTTATCTCTTCCTTTGGACCTTGAAGCACACAGAGATGCTACAGAATGCTCTTTCTGTAGTAGGGCAATAATYAAACCTGGATGTTGGCCTTATCATGTTGTTGAGGAGCACAGTAAGGCCTTAAGGATGAGGACTGTCAATGGGTTCTAAGAATGATCACATGTAAGTGGATTAGGATCCCTGTTTGCTAGTCTGTGCGGTTTATTTTATGCCAGATCTTTGTTTGATAAAACTGAAAGAAAATGCTCACAATGTTACAAGCCAATGAGGATGTGTTTATTTGGTCTTATTCAGGGATAAGGACAACATGCCAGAACTTATCACCTGGTGATCAGAAACACAGAACATAAGAGACTCAAAAGAGATTTTTTAATGTGATATGAGAAAGCCTATACATGGAAGCTCTTACATGTGTGTGCGTGTGCACATTTACACCCATCTGTGTGTGTACATATGAACTAAAAAGCAAGTTCTAGAGGTCAAATATTCTGAATCTTGCCTGACAGAACTTCGTTGGATGCAGCATTTCCTTTGATTCTACATTTCTGAGCAAATATCCTTTTAGGATTCTAAGATGCCCTGAAACTTGAAATGCATGCATAAATGTGAAGAAAATATTTTCACATTTTATCATTAAAATAGTCCATTAAATTATAAGAAAGCTGTTTCAGATGTGAGAGTCATTGGAAGCATCAAAGTCCAGAGGCTAAGGAAGTAGAGGTAGAGAGTTAGGTAGAGGTAACTGACATCCTAGGAGCAAAGGAGCACTAGAGCAGAGAGGAGTGGGTGGGCTGGACAGAAACCTAGAAGACACAGAGTAGTACTAAGGATCATTTAATTACCTYGAAATACCTCCTTGTGACAGTTAGAAAGAACACATGAATCTTACTTTTCCATTCGTGTTCCTACATGCATTTTGACTAAAGATATGACATATCAGTTTTTCAAGAAAGTAAGGGCAGAAAAACTTGGGAAGCAAAAATAGGGTCAAAATTCTTAGAGAACACAGGAGAGTGTTATAATAGGAATCTGGAGCCTACTGAGAAAATGAGGATTTTACAGAAGTGCATTGCAATTTTAGCTATCATATTTTTACTTACAGGAATGTTGATGAATACTGAATCAAATTCTGCTGGTGTAAGAAATCTCTTCAGTGGTGCCATGAAATACTACCAGGAGAGAAGAGGGAAGCAATAATTACCCTTAACTTGCCCTAATCAATGTAACGAGTTTTTAATCAACAAACAAAAATTATTGAATTCATTTGTTAATCAGCATTATAAATACCAAAAAAGTAGAAATTATTCTCTTAAAGGTTTTATGCTTGAGATATAAAGAAATAAATACAAGCTATCATATTTGAAGTACATAATAAAAGGTTTAGACAGTAAGTACTCTGAGAAGAAAGAACACATTGGCCAAGTTGGTAAACAATGACACTGGAGATACATTTGAGGACTTATATAAAACATCCCCAAAACACACTTTGTAAAAGATTATAGACATTTGAGATCAATAATCTGTTTATGCAATTTGTACATCACTTTCCCCCCAATATGTGAGAATTTTAGTTCCAGGTCTGCCATACCTTTTTCATCCTTGGCAATCTCAGAATCTGTGCAGATGGTCCTCCCAACAGTCGAGCCTCTAATCTTACTCACAACATAAGATTATTGGCCTCTAATAATCTTATGCTCCAGTCTAGCTCAGCTCCCAAATCTCATGGTCATATCTGAACACCGTGTTTTTATCAAATAACATACATGCTTTATAGGTTAATTTCAGGAACTCACCTCTCGAATCCCTACCTCCTACTGTAACAAGAAATTGTTCAGCCCCACAGGGTCTGCTAATCCACTGGATGTCCATATCCCTCATGTCCCCACTTTCCTCCCTACCCACTTTATAATCACGAACCATCATCAGAGTTATTTCTCTGCATACTTGCTTTCCATCTTTTCTTCCATTGTGCTTTTCTAGAAAACCAAACCCTGACTTTTGTACCTATATCTAACAAATTAAGCATGAACTAGAGTGATAGTCTAATTTTAAATATGACCATGAAATTCTATGACTCCTATAATGCTACACAGTCCTGTTTAAAAACCCTGGTCGATTTAATCTCTCACTGTCCTCAACAACTCTTCCATACCTTTATCTTTTCCTAAACCTAAACCTTTCTTCCTGGTTCTCATTTTCCTAACCTCTAAATGTGAGAGTCAGCAGGAGTGGCCTCAAACCTTCTCCCTTAGAGCATGCATCCCCTGGAGTAATCTCACTTAGTTCCACAGCCTTAAATTTCACTGTGTGATGATAAAGGCCCAATGTGTTCATCAGTTCAACATTTCCCATTACTGCCAGACTCACATGTTCCTCAATACACCCCACCAGAAGTCCAAGAGGTATCACAAATTTAATATGTTCCACCGATTCACGATCCCCAACCCTTCCTTCCCCATCTCATTAAGCATCTTTACCATTCATGCACTGGCTCAAGCCAAACCTAGTAGTCATCCTTGATCCCTCTCTTTCTTCACATCCTTTTGCCTAATCCATCACCCAATCCAGGAGACTCTACTTTTAAAATACCTTCTGAATCTGAATATCGCTTGCCAATTCTATCAATACCACCATTTTCTGTCATCATGAAAATTACAACACACATCTAATTTTTCTTTCACTTCCAGCCCTTGTTCACAAGAGCCAAAATGAGATGTTCAAGATTTTAACTGCTATTGTATCACATCTGCTTAAAATGTCCTAGCTTTTGTCCCCGTATAGGCTGCTCTCTGAACCATGCACTCCCCTTTACTCATTCTGTTGCAGCCCTGCTGGACTGCTGCTGTTCCCTGAAGCACAGTCTGAACACTCTCCCACCTGAGGGTCTCTCTCCTAGAACTCTCGTCCCTGCACATGTGCATGGCTTGTGCCTTCAATGCACTGGCTCTCAGTTTAAACACACCATCTCATCACAAAGACCTTCCATTATCATTCTCTCTACCTTCCTTCTCCCCACATTCTCCCCTTTCCCCCAACTTGTTTCTCTTGAGAGAACTTACCATCCTTATGTGCTTTCATTCTAAACCATGAGACAGAAAGTGCCAGAGTCCTGTCAGGTTGACTGCTACAGCCTCAGTGCCTAAAACAGTGCCTCTCAGATATAAAGAAATCAACAAATCTATGGAATGAATAATCTGCTTTGATATTTTTCCTTTTTCCTTTTTTAAAAGTGCTTTATTGAGACATAATTTACATATTATACAATCCGCCCATTTAAAGCATACAGCCCAACGTTTATTAGTATGYTCACACAGTTGTGCAAACATGACCACAATCAATTGTGGAACACTTTTATCAGCCAAAAGAGAAATTCTGTATCCATTAATATCTTCTTCTCTACCCTGTCCTGTCTCTCACCACCTATGCCTATTACCAACACCATGCAGCCCCAGACAATCACTTAACTACTTTCTTTCTCTGTTTTTGCCTATTCTGGACACAGTTTTTAAGATACTCCTCCTATCTAACTGTAATTCTACTTCCTTTGACCAACATCACCCTATCTCCTCCCACCCCAGCCACCTAAGCCTCTGGACAACACTGCTCTACTCCACTTCTTTGCATTCAGTGTTTCTAGATCCTACTGAGAGTGACTTCAGGTGATATTTGTCCTCCTGTGCCTGGCTTTAATGCAAAGTACAACTGAGAATTGGAAATGCACACTCACAGGCTCAGTGGAAACTGAGGGGCTCAGGTGGTAACTGTGTGAGGCAGCATTTCAGCATCGGTACCCAATGACTTACCTTTTCTATTGACTCCAAGGTTTCTGTATATTTTTCTTCTGTCTGCTTAATCTCTGCTAGGCAACAGCTTCGTATATCATTTTCTGGACATTTCTGCAGTTAAAATGATAAAACTAAAATTACTTAATCAAACACATGTATAAATCTATCTGGTAGCAGATACAAAGAGATGAAAATCATTGCATTTCCATCTAATAAAACACACAACTGAAAGACGTACTTAACTATATTCGAGACACGTTTGGTGTGTTTAATTTTAAACAATGTAAATGAAAAAGTTCTAGGTGATTAAAAATAAGTCTCTGAATTTAGACATTCTCTTCAAATTAACACATCTCTTTCATTAAAAATGTTAATGAATCTGGAAACGGTATAACAGTTCCTTTAATACACAGCATATTTCACATGTGCTACAGAAATAAATATAAAAATACTTAAAAGATATTTAGTAAGTAAAACCTTCAAATATTTCTTCCAAGCATTAACATCTTAGTGCTTGGCTCTCTTACTAAGTGTTTAGGATTAAAGTTGGCAGAGCACAGTACTAAGATCAAAGATTTGGGGATAAGATGGAATTAGGTTCAAATACCTGTTTTATTGTTATTAGCTTTATAACTCTGAACAAGTTACAAATTTCTCTGTGGCTCTGTTTTCTCTTTTGTAAAATAGAGAAAATTACAGGGAGTTCTAATGAGATAAATGATGTGAAGCACTTGGAGCTTTGCCAGGCACTTAAGAAGGACCCTAAACATCTAAATTATTACTCCTGTTAACCCTGTCCCATATAAACCACACAGCACTGTCAGGTGAGGGATGACTGTCCCCAGGGGTGTCACTGAAGAATCTGCTGGCATCAAAGCAGTTAACAATTACAGTAGGTACAGATGATACTGTGACCTAAAATTACTCTGGAAATGAACTAGAGGTGGCATCCACTCCTGCAGTGAGTTAAAACACACATTTTGATATTTCCCGAACATAGGCCTTGTGACTTGTCTCCACCCCACAGAAGCTCCCCAGTGAGGCTCTGGGCAGCCCACCAGCCCTGTGCAATAGGCCAGAGCAAAAAACTGAGTGTTAATAAAAGCCTAAGTAACTGACTTGTTAAAATCTCAAACTATCCATAAGAAGATAACTCAAAGAAATTCTTACTTGAGTGTTCTAGATAGAGTCAGGCAGATAAAACTTTGAGGGTCCAGATACACTGGGCATGACAGTATCTATAACTAARTTTACAAAGTAGTATAAGAAAGCAAGGACATTTATAATGAAACAAAAGGGGAAGATACCTCATAATACAACCTAACAAATGGGAAGAAATATCCTTTAACATATATTTTATCTTACATTAAATTTAAAGGAAAAAATTTACCTGCTTTGTAAGAGAAGATTTACTTTCATAACAGTATAATTTCATGATTCACTGAAATTACTTTCTATTGCGACTGTGCCATTATGTAGCTGACTGGCATGTCATTTACCTCTCAGACTTGGCTTCTTTACTGGTAAAATGAAAGGATTAGACTAAAGATTTCCTACGGTTATTATGAGCAATAAAATGTCATGCTTATGGCTTCAAATGCAGGAATAAGTCACAGTTACATAGATAGGTTTTATAGTTACACAATCGCCTACTTATAAGGAAGTTAAAACAAACAAAGAATATTCCAGCAGAGGTTACATAATCATTACATTACTTAGTCTTACAAGTAATCACTTTCCTAATAAAACACTCAAGAGTAATTTAAGAAACAAGTAAAAATCCTACAGGTTGATGGGCTTCCTCTGCTTTCATTAAGTCCTCATAGACTTCTCCACCTTCATCTTCCCCATAAACACAGTCATAGAGATCTTCTTCATCTTGTACTCGGGTTTCACTAAAACAAAGGACACCACGTAAAGGTCATTTTCCATTATGCAGTAAATGCAATAGCTAGAAATAGCCTACTGGGGTTTGGTAAAAAAAAAAAAATAGATTAAAAGTTTTCTACTGGTTGTAGTATAAAATGCAGAGAGAAAAATGGAATCAGTGGAAAGCCTCAAAAGGCTCACATTAGAGCTTGGTCCCTGCTAACAAGAATGATGACAACAGAATTCAACAGTGAGGGTGGCAGCAGCTGACATTTACTAGTTAGTCACTCTGTGTAAGCTCACAGGTGATCATTCTGCAGATCTTGTCTCACCCTATTCTTCCGGCATTAGCTGTCTTATTAGATATGCCTTATTATTTGATTCATTAAAGAGAAAGTTGCGAGACCAAAAAGTTATTTGAATTGCCAGAGATAACACAGCTAATCTACAGCAGAGCAATGATTTGAAAGCAAGTCTGGCTCACTTTTGTATTAACCACTCCATCACACAGTGTCCCCACTTTTCTCATGTTTGGAGACCTCAGTTTCATTACCCATATTAAAGGGTATAAAATGGAGAGAGCTGAAGAGTTAGGAGTATCTAATATGTTGAAAGTGCTCTGTTAACAGCATTCATTTCTTCAAGGTTATTACCATTATCTAAGCCAGTGATTTTCAAACCAGCCCACTCAGAGAGTACCTCTGATCCCCGTTCACCCAGATTCTGCTTTAATCTATTCACATTTCTTTAAGTGGGGAAGGGCACGATCTTTAAAATCATCTAAGATCTGTTAAAAAAAAACACTTAAAATCTGCTGGTCTTCTGGCAGTTAAAAATAATACCCATTTTTCAAGCTTCCATGAACACTTACACAGTGATTGACAGGTCCATCTACCCCAAGCCCCTCAGATGAGACTGAACCCACTCCTCAGTCAAGGTGCTCTAACCACTGCATGTTCCTCTACTACCTGGAAGTTTTTCCTTCCAGTTCAAGACTTCTGTAAATGCCTCTACCAGCTAATTTTCCCAAAGATTGAGAAGAACCAATATAGAGATGTTGGAAGAAGCATTAATGAGAAAGAAATTCAACTCCTTTAATACCACCAGCCCTGAGTACCTCTCCTGGGCTTGTGCAGATAGAATGTTAAAAATGATATAACAAAAATAAAAACACTGTAACTATAAATGTCAGTCTACAACTTGGAACATTTTTCAATGGAAGTATAACCACAAAGCGGTTTATGTTTGTCATGAAGGATTATTTGAGGGTATTTGACAGGAATAAACTGTCAAACATGTACAGAAAAGGAAGGTATATTAAGTGAGAGAGATTTGGTGGTAACAGAAGTTTCAGAGAATTCTGCTCTGAGAAAAATTCATTCCAGAGTCACTTGTCCACCCACCTACCCACCCATCCATCCATCCAACAGACATTTACTAAGAACTGCCTGAGTATCAGGCTCTTTAGTGCTCAAAATGTACAGATCAAGAACCTGCCTGTTGCCTAGCATGGAGAATAGCACATAAATACACAATTCTGTGTGCAATGATAGAGACAAGTGTATAATACTGGAGCATACAAAGGAGTAAAAATAACTCTCACTAAAGAGATCAGAGGAAGGCTTCACAGAAGATATAACATCTGAGCTGCGTCTTGAATATATTTATCAGTTTATTCAATAGATATTTTCTGTGAAAATATTGTGTTCCCAGACATACAGCTGCAGACCAGGGAGACCAAGTTTAGTTCTCATGGAACTTAAAACCCAGTGGGGTGACACATGCCCCCACTGAATAAAAAGAGGGGAAGAGCATTCCAGAAAAAAAAAAGACACTAACAAGGGCAAAAGAAGAGTAATCAGCCTGACCATGCCTGGATTAGCACCCCATTCACTGTGTCCAGGCAAGCAGGGAAGGCTACTGGAGGGACAGGAGAGCCAGGCACTCTGTGAATTCAACCTCCCACTGCACATCTGGGAACCCACAGGGAGTTATTTAGATGAGGGTCTCCTGGAGGGACAAGAGACAGACAGGGAGATCAGTAAGGCAAGGTGCGACCTACTGTGAGTGAGAGAGTCTTAACTAGGGTAGGGCAGGTGAGAGGGACACAGAGAACAGGAGACAGTAAAACAGATTCCGTGATCCGTGAGAATTTCAGAGGGGAAAGAGTGAAGGATGCCACTCAGCTTCTGCTTTGGAAATCTGAGGAAATGGCAGGCCAGGCTGGGGCAGTTCCACTATTTCTACAACAGCGGCTATCCTGGCTGGTACTCTGGCCAGGGAACAGTGGGGGCAGTTAAGTGGGTTTGAGCATTTTCTGTACACAACAAAGGACAGGAAGGGCTGGTGAGAGCACAAGGGATAAGAAACAATGAAAGCACCGGGTTCTGCATGGCGGGTTCTGTTCAGAAGGAAAATGAACTGTGAAATCTATTCTCCCACTCTCAGGCCCAGTGCTCCTGCTTTGCCTCCTAACGCCAGCCCAAACACACTCAGTCTTGTGTGGAAACACCAGTGAGCAGAACAAGATGAGGGAAGGCTACAAAATTAATAGGTATCAGTGACCTTCAGTGGAGTTTTTAAAAGAACAACATCATCACACAGTGCCAGAAATAATGCATTCTTCCAAATGCTTTAAAGAATCTGATTCTAGGATCAAGAATCTTACAGGGACCTGATGAAGATAGCATCTATCATACTTCATGTYGGAGTTCTTGGAAGTTTTAAGGGAAGATAAGAAAGTACGCTTACTAGCTAAAGTATGGGACTTCAAGGCCAAGGAAGAGCTGCTGGCCACAATTCGTCTGGCTCCAGGCAGCTCTTGCCTCTTCTGCTCTCCTGCTAAAAGCTTTAGAGGGTCCTGTCAGGAAGCATCCATGAGTCAGTGCAATGACTAAGAAACCTCCAGGCCCGAAGAACGGCCTGGTTTTTAAATCCAAGGTCTGCTATTTGCTAGTGCTATTACCTCCAGCAAGTTACTTAGCTTTTCAAATTTTGGTTTTCCTCATTTGAAAACTGTAATAACAGTAGACACCTAAAAACATGGTGGTATTACAGGACACTGATAGTGCATACAAACAAGCTAGCACACACAAGGATACTTGGCTAACTTTTATTACAAAAGTTAGACAGCCCAGGCCTGCACCACAATGCCTGGTAAACAGTAGATGCTGAATGCAGTTTTGGCTTATTCATTCATTTATGGAAGACCTGCTATAAACCAGACACTGCTCTAAGTTCCAAGAAAATAGCCACAGAGGGAAATCTCTGATCTCAGACAGTTAACCTTCTAATGAGGACAGACAATAAATKAAGCCAGCCAACATTGTGTCAAGTAGTTGCAAGAGCTATGAAAATGCAGAGCAAGGTGAGGGGGTGGTGGCGATTTTACACAGGGTCATCGGAAAAGGTCTCCATGTAGAGGGATGCCTGGGCAAAGACATGAGTAGTGAGGGAAACTGTCATACGGTCAGAAAAAAATGGCAAGCATAAACCTCCTAAGCCAGAACACGCTCTGTGTGTTGGATGCATGAATGGATGGATTTCCACAGATGTATCAATCTCTCTTGGAGCATAGTCTGTTTCTTTAAATTATTTGCAAGTAGGCCTGATGTACATCATCGGTTCTTTGTGGAGTGAGGATCATGTTGTATATTTATTTGTAATCTGCCCAAGTCACTCAAACAGGAGAAGAAACTCAGCTGCGAAAACATTCTTCCTCTCTGGACTACTAAAGAACAAAGCCTGAGAAGAGTCTCTGTGCAGAACCAACGCCACCTGCTGAACCATCCCTGAACAAGGCCAGCTCCCACCTGGGTTGTCCTGGCCTTGCACTCACAAGGCACATACTATCTGTCCTACAACTCTAGTCATCGATTCGATTTATTTTTAATCGTTGCCAACCGTCTAATTTCAGTTTTATCTACGACTCTACTATGCCTCTGAGAAACTTCCAAATTTTTTCTTCTTTGCAATATGTTTCTTTACTTTTCACAGGGATATGGGAACTAAAAACCAGTGGGAGTATGTTTCTTATGAAGCTTTCCACCACCAGTTTAAGGTCATTTCTTACATGGCTTCATCATTAAGTCCCCTTTGCCCTTCAGAGAGCTTACTGAACATTCACAGTTAAGACCCAGGCTGGACCAAAACATGGTCATGGTTTTATTTTGCTGAAAATGTTCAACATACTCTATTAAGTCAGGAAGGCCTTTGTAGATGTCTTCATCATTAACGCTTTCTTCTGTTGGGAAGGGCCTAGAAAGGGGGAGAAACACAGGTGAATGAGCAACCCCAAGGTGAGCATTTACTTCTCACTAAATATTAAAGTGTATCTGCTACAAAATGGTCAGATGGGTCATCCTGCCCCATGTCTCCCAAGGTCTAGAGCTTCGGCCAAAGTGCCTGCTGAGTGCTGTGCCTGGGGTGTCCCAGGATGGCTGCAACACCTGTGACCCCAAATCATCTGCAGCCTTTACAGCTGGCTTCCACAGACACATGTGCAATTGGGGGCCTACTGAAATGCTGGTCTAATCCCCMACCCACCACATCCCTGCAGGGCACCCCATAGCACCCACAGAGTTCTCACTCACAGGTTAAACACCCTCTCTTTTCAGCTATAAGATACTAGTATAGCATTATGTAAAAATGTGGATGTGTAACCGATRTGATTCTGCAATCTGTATTTGGGGTAAAAATGGGAGTTCATAACTCACTTGAAGCTAATGTATGAAATATGATATGTCAAGAGCTTTGTAAGGTTTTGAACAACCAATAAAAAAAAAAAGATCTGACCTGACAAATAATATTGTAACACCATCCTTCCAAGGACCCAGTTCACTAGGATAGATGAAAATGATCACAAGACAAAAGCATTCTTCCCTTCATCTCTAATTCCTGGCTTTGACATGTTTTTCTACTCTGATTTTAAGGTAATTAAGTTATATTTTTTAAATTTTCATTTCTTTGGACAAATAAGTCAATCAGATTTATCAGAGGGAATAGGRTGTTTGTCCCCTGATTAGTAAAATCATACTTTATCTCCTATTCCTAATATTTGGCTTCCCTGTTTGCCTCATCATACTATGTATTTGTTATAATAAAAATATAGTGCCCTACTTTTATGCCTAACAAAGCCACAGTAATTATACTCCAGGACTGAAAAGTTTATTTTTTCTTACAAGACAGCTAGCACATTATGTGTTTCATAAAAGCAAGAGAAGTCATCAAAATAATAAATGTTTTAAATAATTACTAGTTATTTTGAAAAGCAGATATTCACATGAGATTCTGGATAAATACTTAATATATTTAAGGAAACTGTTTTTCAAACAAATCAATGTGCAAGAAACAGCAAAGTTTCAAAATCATTATTTTTATAAATTCAGGCACATTTAATTATGCTTTTAGGGCAATACAAGTCCATTACAGAAAATATAGATAAGCAAAATTAAAAATACTTCTGACATATGCCCTTCCAGAATAAAAAATACAAACATAAATAAAAATGGGATATTCTTAAAAATCCACTTTCATATAACAACATAAAGTGCATGTCAATATAGGAAGATAATCATGTATTGAAGAGCAAATTAGGAGGAGCTAAAGAACTATGCAGCCTACAGATCACTTCTGAACAAAATCTAGGCCCATTTCTGAGAAAGAGTCTGTAAAGTGCTCTCCCTGGGGCCACTGTGCTTGATATCTAGGGACTGGGCTGCCTTGCCAGTGCTGAGCACTCCTGTAGGGTATGCTCTCTCCCTTAGCATCCGAAGATGAGCTGGACATCAAAAAATGGAAGCAACAGGGGCAGAAATACAGACTCAGAGTCCCATGTTGAATGCAGACTGAAATAAGGAGCCCTGAGGAAATAAGGTCCAAAACAAAATCCATTCCATCTCCATGCAGCCTGGCTGTGTTGCTACTGAAACTGCTTTTCTTCATTCCCTAATGTCACTTCTACTAGGTCTTAACTGACTGATGTGATTTAAGAATGTAGTACTAGAAACAGAAAAATTCCCAAGCAACACATCTCTGTGTTTCTATGTTTACCAACTGCAAGATGCTCTACTGCAAGGAGATGGCATAATTTATTTAACCAACTTCTAAGTTTTTAATGAATTACCAAACCTTCAATACACATCCTTGTATACATATCATTATATACTTGTCTGATTAATCCTTAAACTCTTAAAAGTTGTGAGTTATCTTTATGGTCTACTTTACAGGAAAAAAATATATTACCATATATTTATATATTTTATTTACTTAAGCTTTGTATTTGTCCATGTATAGAAATGTTGAAGGAGGTTTAAAAGAACATGAACCATACCAGAGACAGTCACCACAGTGAACTGAAAACAACATTTAGTGTGTCTTATTCAACTCTACAAACAAGTTCTTACTTCCTCAAAAAAATTTCAAATGTGTATTTGGCCCCTATAAAGGTGTTTTGCAAACTTTTCATACATAATCATGACAATGAACAGCATGTGACATATGAAYTACATACCTGATTCCTGTGGCCAATGCTGTGGGTGTTCGAGAAAGTCGCGATAAAGTTTCTATAACCTGAGAAAAAGAGGAAAATGTTAACTGAACCTATATTTCTGCATATATAAGATAAACCATAGTTTTCYAATCTTTTACAATGGTAAAAGAAATTTAAACTTGCAGAGGCCAAAAAGTACTGAGTGGGGGGAGTCATGATTGGGAAGTATAAGATCCTGGATTATATGTACACAGCATAATTTTGAATTCCACCTTTATGTGTATGTGTAAAGCATCAATCAAAAAATAAATAGACAAGTGAAAGTAAGATCAGTAGAGTAGATGGAGGAGAACTGGGATAGGGACAAGGGAATGGAAAGGCAGGGGGAATGTCGATTGTAATGGAGAAAATCAAATTCCATGCATGCATGATTTCATAAAAATGAACCCAACTGCTATGTATAACTATAATTCCCTGATTTTTTTAAAAAAATCCTGGATTATACTTTGTTCCTTTTTTTTTTTGGCTTTACAAGTTAAAGCAGATTACTACCCATCTGAGTTGCCATTTCCTTGTCAGTAAAACAAAGAAATAGACTGGGTGACTCCAAATGTCTGATAGCTCTGCTTCTCCAAACCTTAAGGGATCACATAAAGCTGTGTTCTCCGTCATGATAACCACTAGTCACATGAGGTTAATGAATTAACTTAAAGTTTTTAAAAATTCAATTCCTTGTTTTTTGCTAGTCATATTTTAAATTTCTCAGCAGCCACAGAGGCTGCTGTACTGGACTCACACTTATTTCCCATCATCACAGAAAAGCAGTTCAAAGGGTGGACACCTGAGTCAGACCTGTGAGTTCAAACCCTCCAGTGCCCACTTATTAGCAGATAGCTTTGGACAAATCATCAACTTCTCTAGGCTTTCAAATCTTCTTCTCTATAATGCCTCTAATAATAATTAATGATCATTAGACTTTTTAAGGATTAAATAACACATGCAGAATATTTAAATAGTAGCAATTCTTTATAATCACTAACTTTAAGAAAATTGCCTTATTCTGTTTTCAGAGAAAAAAAAATTGTTCTAAATTACCCCTGATTATCTATTTCAAAGATTACTTACGAAGATCTTCAGTATCTAAACCTAAGTGTGTCCTGCTACAGTTTCAGCATTAGTGCTCCGTAATTTTACCCTCCTTTCAATCTTTTGTAACTAAGTTCACCTATCATCTTATTCAAAACACTCAGGAAGCCAATGACCTAATATGTATTTCTCTCATAGTCTTCTTTTTCTGATAATAGATAACATTTATCCTGACTCTCAAAATTAAACAAAATAAAACTTACAGTGGTTATACCATATGGCCCATTCAGAATGGAGAAGGGGTGGTAAAAGAAAAAACAAACTGTCCAAGTTGAAGTAATCAAATTTCTCACTTCAACAGCGAAATGTAAGTCTGCAGTCCTCTGCAGAAACCTTTTAAAGGTATTGATGACACAAGAACTCACCTCCAACCTGCATCAGGAGGCAGTAGGTTGTGGTGGTTAGAAATGCATGGCTCTGGAGTAAGAACACCTGGAGCCCTGGTTACCAATTTTCACCTAAGCTCAACTTTACTCTGTAAAATTCAAATAATAACTATTAACTACCTCATGGAGTGACTGAAAGAATTAAATTAAATAATACTCATCAAATGCTTCACTCAATAAATGTGAACTTTTATTATTACATAAAATAAAATTATTGTACAGAAATTAAATCTGTTTACATGGTGACTATAGATAATAACAACATATTCTAAAAAAAAGGAAGAAATTTTAAATGTTCACATCATGAAAAAATAAAAACTATGTGAGGTGATATAGCCCTAATTCAGCCATTCCACCATGCATACACATTTCAAAACATGTGGTACAGGACAAATACATATAATTTTATCAGTATAAAATAATTTTTTAAAAAATCTTTAAGTTTATTAATACAAGACAGAAGGGAGCATAATTCTTTAGGATGGTTCTTATAGGTTAAATGGAACAAGGGACATGGTGACAAGATGAGCATGTAACAGTGTAACCATAACCTCCTGCTACGACCTTGAGAGGTAGGGGAGAAAAGGAAAGGGAAAAAGAAAATTTAATTGAAAGACTTCAATTTTTTTCTGGTTAACTGTGTATCAAGGCAAGATAATCACTTAGCTAAAACCTGATATTGATTAGTTCCCAATAAAAGTAAAAAAAAAAAAAAATTCAACGAGTCTGTAAACTCAGAAGCTCACAAATGAATAAATGCTTACAACTTTATCAAAGTGAACTGATTCAAATAATTATTTGCTAAAATTCCAAAATTATGCAATTATTGAGTGAAAAGTCTAGCTTTTGGAAAGTTCTGAAATGATCTGTGGAATAGTATTTAGATCCCTCAATTAACTATAATACTGAATTTAAGCATGTGCTTTTAGTCTACTGTAGAAATGTCAAAGTTATAGGGTAAAATCTGCCTCTAATTCCATTACACACTTTGGTCTAGCACTGTCACTACTAAATAACAACAAAATCCCAGGAATAGCAGTACTATTGCTATGCATTTTATTATTTATTTTAATAGCAATGTATTTTATATGTAATGTAATAAGTTCCTTTGTCTTCTATAATAATGATATGTTTACAAAATAAGAATGCATTTCCTGCCTTTTTTCCACCAACAAGATCAACTACAATCTGTCCCTTCACACACACCCTGGAAAAAAGATAGCTTGAATTTTATACTAATGTCCACCAGAGGGAGCCAAAAGACAGTCTATTAGTTTAACCCTGCCTTGAACAAGTTCTAAGCAAAAACTTTTCTGAAAATTAACAAGCTAAAACCAACTCCCCATTATTTATTTAACAAGGACTATTCGTCACCATTCAGTAATAGAAAACTATCAAAGACACATTTGGGGGTAGGGGCTGGAAGGATGGTATGCAGCGCATCTTCAAGTGAGTCTGGAGAACCACCAGTCAGTTCTATTGTCTATCCTTTCGCACATAAAGTCCATCCATTAACTCTAAGTTTAGCCAAAGCAAACAAGGACTGTTTAGTCAGTACTGTGTTTTTAGAACAATGAGTACTCTATAAAGGCAGAGTGCATCTGGATTTGGAATAGACACATATACAAATTAATGCCAGATTCTCAAAACTTCTCGGTGGAGACTGACTTGCCATTTCAAATATCCATTCAAAAATGTTTACAAGAGAAAACATCCTCAAGTAGACTAAAAAGATGATTTTCCTTACAATGTGCTAATTTCTAAATTATTTATCTCAAAATAATAGAAAACTAAATAGAAATTTCCTTTCCCAGAAAGGAAGGTAAGTTAGTAAGAATGTTTGCAAGTTAAAAGACTAACAATCAATTATACTAAATCTACATCATGTGTTTTCTTTCTTTACCTATGTCCAACCCTTGGTGGGCAAGAAGAGTGGCATTTATAAAGAAATGAAGATCATCTGGGCATAATGTCAATAATAGCCATTGCAGGAGAAAGGTGGAGGGGGTGAGCGAGGCTTCTTGTGCTGGATTTACAAGTCTGTGTTGGGGGATGCAATTTAGAAGCAGTAAAGGGTCTTTGAGAAAGTTCAGCAACAGATCACAGGGTCTCACTTGGATTTTGGAAAGATCACTCAGCAGAGTGAAGGACAGACTGGGAAAGGAGGATAGAGGCAGAAACAGGACAGGAGACACCTAGGGCATTTCCTTAACCGTCCACAGGAGAAATAAGAAGGGTGAACCAAGATGACAGTCGTAGAGACAGACAAGAGATGGAGATGCGAGACATCCTCAGGAAGGGTGGCTGGAGCCCCACAAAGGCTGAAGAAGGATGTAGAGCCCTCAGCCATCTTAGCAAACTGTTGAAGCCCTGGGAGAGGTAGACCCACGGGGTTTCCCCTCCTCTCCTCTTCCCTCTGGGAGACTGACAGGTACATCCTGAGCTCAGCAAGGCTCTCCAGTCCTCTAGGAAGCCTTCTCTCAGCCTCTTCCAGCCCCAGCCTGGGTCTTTGGTGTCTCCATAGGACCCTGGATAGAATCACCTTATTTAAAGTAATAGTTGACTTTTTAAAAAATGTTTGAAAAGAACACATGCTTGTTTTGTCAAATTGAAATAATGTTAGTATATAAAAGTTGCCCTCCCCTCATTGGAAGGAAACTATAGCTAAGAATCTGTGCGGCTTGTAGAGAATTTTGGTCTTTTCCTTTTCTCTTTTCTTATTCTTTAAAGTAATGGGTTTTTGTTGTACAGATTTTTCTACTGCAGGCTTTTGTCACTAAAAATAAATCACAATCATGTCAGTATGTATAGATCTACTTTATTCATTTTAATGCTGTGTAACACTCCAGTGTAAGCAAATAATGATTTTGCCATTCTCCTGCCAATGAGCTTTTTCAACGTGTTGCTACAAAACCTGCAATTACCATCCCTGCCAAATATCTTTTCAGCTGTGGGCAGGCATTGCTATAGGAAAAATTCTTAAATAGGAAGTAGGGCTCTCCGTGATGTATTCTTGAACTTAGATACCCCTGAAGAGCATACAAGAACATAACAAGGCATTCCGGTCATCCCTTTATTTGTCTGTCTTTCCCACAATAAAAACTACCTTTCAGGTACAGGAATGAAACTGCTTCTCGCCTGCTGTGTTCCCATCACCTAGTTCACAGCCAGGCTCCGAACAACAATTTCACACACACACACAMAAAAAAAATGAATGAATGACACTTGCCTTGCAAAGGAGTTGTGAGACTAAGGGACAATATGTCAAGATGTGTAAAGGGCTTTAGGCTGGCACAAGTGGGAAATGAATGAAGAATCAATGAATCATTGAAGAAGAAACCCACCAGGAAAATTAAATATAGGAACGAGTGGCCTATCTCCTCAAGCCTAGGGCCAACACACACGCTAGTGCCCACTTCAAACTTTTTCTCTCGGATGATGACTTTTATTTTGTTTGAGCTCTATTTTTAGCATCCTGTTAGTTTTAAAACTACTAAGTAAAACAATGTGCTGAAGAGGCTGCCCATTTTTACCTACACTCTTTATGA